GCCAGAAATGAAATCTCTTCTCTCCTGTCACCTCTCCTTTTCTCTCCTCTCCTCTCTCCTCTCCTTTTTTGCCTTTGTGTGACTAATTTCTGGCCCTTCCAAACCCCAGCACAGCATCCAAAAATAAGGATTCCCATGCAAAGCCCAACTCCTCTTCCACCCCAGTTTGGCTCCCGTCAAAGCTCCTACCTCTCTGGACCATTGGATGTGATAAATATTTGTTAATTCTTTGCTTTTGTGGCAGCTGGGACTTCAGCTCCAGCTTAAAGACACCTTTTGTCTCTCCCCCCCCTTCTCGTTCGTTTAAAGTCTGATGTGTTCTCTTTCGGTTATTAACTTTTCTACGTTAATTGGAATTATAATGAACTGCCTCAAGCTCTTTGATACACACACACTGCCTTGCTTTAGCCTCCGAGTTTGTGGTCTTGTTTTATTAATGCCAGCTCACGTGACAGGAGATGCTCTCGGATGCCTTCCGTGCGGAGTCCCCCCCAGTCCCCTTTGGGTCTTGGGTTTCACTCCTGGTCCTTGCAGCAATGTCACAGGGGCAGATCCACGTTTCCCAGCCCTGTGTAATGAGAGGAAATAGATTCAGCTCAGCGCCCGGGTGTTTTAATGAATCATCAGTGTGTGCATCTCTACGTTAAATTCGATGAGGTTTTACTGTCCTAAGACATAACCATTACTCAGGAATGCGTCAATTGATCCGGGGCATCTCTCCTTGTCGGGTGACCTGCTGGTTAGAGGGTTTGATCTCTCATTCAGCTTCATCAGGCAAAAGGCCAATGCAGAGAGAAAGATGGAGAGCTGAGCCCTCCCAGATGAGCATCCCTCAGCCCCATCCCACATCCCACGAGCCCAGTGATGCCAGGGAACAGCCCAGTCCCACACCAGCCCTCCCACTGCTGCTGCTGTCAGCCTCAAAAGCACATGTCTGCATAGCATGACATGCAGGAGGTCACTGGAGATGCCTGGGAAGGCTCCCACCATGGCATTTCTGAGAGGTGGGGTTGTATTCACTGGAACTGCGAATGGAGCCCCTGCAGTGCCCTGGGGCTCCTGCCCGAGGAGCTGGATCTGCACCTCAATCCTTCCACAGCTCTGCTCACCTTTCTGAAGGAGGATGCAGCATCCCTCTCTTTGCCTGAGGCTCCTGGGCTCGTTCCTGGATACACTGAAGGCTCAGATGGATGTCCATCTTCCAGCCCTGGTGCTTGGGCAGACATCTGGCTGCATTACGAAAGCCCCTGAGAGCAGATTTCTGTCCTTCCCCATCCCTGACCTCCTCCAAGCAGATTCACCCACTTCTCCACCTCTCTTGGCTTTGTTTCCTCATTGTAAAGAGAAGAAGCTGAGCTGCCAGCACGGCAGGAAGGCAAGTGATCCTCACCAAGGGGCAGGAGGGGGTCCTCAGCTAGCGAGTTCTGCCTCCCTGTATTAGAGATGAAACCCCAGGTTGCTGGCGTGTGCAAGTGGAGCTCCTGAGCTTTCCTGTACAGCAGGAATTTGCAGTGGCACAGCATAACACGGGCAGGTCAGCTTGAAAACAGCTGAACTTTGCAGATAAGCAGTGAGAATTTATTTGAAGAGGGAAAAAAATAAAATGTATATATCTCTCTCTCCCCTTCAGTTTCTCCCTCGTCGTGGGTCATAAATCCAGGTGAGGAGCAAGGATCCAGCTTTCCATTCATTGCTTCGGGTGTTTATTTTAGGATTTCAATGAGATGTAGAAATGCCAGTTTCCTGTTGCTGGAACTCTGACCACTCAGAGCTGACATGGAGCAGCTTCCCATGGGCCCAGTTCTGGGGGGTTCAGCCCCTTTCCTTGAAGGCAGAGCAGCAGCAGCAGCTTTCTGCCCACCTGTGAGCTCTTGACAGGGCTAATGCCAGCATAATTGTGCTGGTGCTAACACAGGAGCATCCTGTGCTGGAGATGAGACTCAGGTGCCTCCCTGTACACCCCATGTCTCTCCCCAGGCAGACCCTGCCAAACTCCCTGGCACAAAAGATCCAAGAGTGCAGTACACTCCAGGGAATACCTGGAGTGTGCTGTGAATCCCATACAAGGGCTGGTTTTGGTGGATACTGCTCAGCTGAGTCTCCTAGGCCCCAGCCTGTGCTGGATGCTGAATGAACCCCAGCAGCAGTGTTAATCCCCCACTGGGTATTACTGACCCCGTCCCTCTGCAGAGCCACACATCCAAACCCTCCTGGTGACAAACTGCTGTGGCCTTTCATTGCCACTAATGACCCTGGATGCAAAGCTGGAGATAAGCTGTGGGTTCCAGAGCCCTGGCAGCAGCAGTGCCTGACATTCGTGGCAGGGAGCTGGGGAAGCAGCTGCCTCCATCGGCAGGAGCGAGGGCTGCCTGCCTGGAACAAAGGCTGCCTTACAGGTAAGTGGGTTTAAACACAATTGATGCGCCAAATTAGGGACTGAAGCAGGCAGCACCCCTCGGAGCTATAATCCATTGCCTCGCTAACATAAATGGAAATTCAATTTGGGCAAGGGCAGGGAGGGAAGGGAAGCTTTGCTGTCTGCTCCCACACGGCCAGTGAAGCTCTCCATGCCCCGGGGGCTCTGCCATCCACAGCCCCCATCCACAGCCAGCCAGACCAGGATCGAATTTGCCTCGGTGCTGATGAGGTCTGGCAGTGTCTGACTCAGGCTGGACCCGACGTGGTGTGGGAAGGGGGAAGAGGGAGCTGGCAAGTAGGGAAGATGCTCATGGGGATGGGCAACCAGGCAGGGTCTCAAGGACCCCTCCCCTGATGGCTGTTGTGTGCAATTTTTCTGGCCAGATCCACCTCTCACCCTTAATTCCAGAGCCATGGAGCTGGGACCAGACCAATGGCTCACAGGAGGTGTTCCATATACATCCCAACGCCGGGAGAACTGTTTATAATCCTTTTCAAGGGACCACTTTGCTCAGTCCTCTTCCCATAACAAATCAGAAGGATTAGGGATCTGCCTGCTGACTGTCGGCTTCGTCATGCACTGAGAAGGTGCTGGGGGTTCAAATCCGAGTTTCAATTGCCCAACAGAGACACAGGTGAGTGTCTGTGCTCTCTGAAATGGTTTTAATGTCTCTGTGTCACCTGGGTCTTGCTGGGCCACAGTGAGCTGTGTGTTTTTGCACAGGAACCTCCACATGTGACAGCAGCAGTCGCTGTTTAACCCACAGATGTGCCCGGTGACAGTCAGGACAGGACACTTGGAGGAGACTGTGATCCAGCAGCAGTGGGAGGAAAGAGCCGTTCCCTCCTCCTTGCACATGAGTTTGTGCCTTACAGCACGAGAAAAACAAAGGCTGTAACATCCCTCTTGTTAAGCCTCTGCTTGTTTCAGCTTCTTGCTTTCTCCTAACTTGTTTTGCCTTCCTCAGGACAAAATCTTCTTTTCCTTACACCATGTACGAAATCCTCTGCCTCATCCTCAACGAGGACCACATCCAAAGGGAATCCAGCCCAACCATGCAGTTGGACCTCCCCACTGGCACCAGAGTAATCTCCCTGAATCAGAGACAGAACTGGACATCAGCTGCTCTTTACAGCTCGAACCTGCTGCTCCTGCTCTGGCAAGGACTGCCATGACTGAGGATCTCCATCACTTCTGCCTCTCTTCCTGGTCCAGCCGTGCACCCATAGACCTGCTGCAGAGCAAAAGGTGGGTGGCTGGGCCATGCCATGGTGAGCTGGTGGTGGGGCAGCAGGAAAAAGGCCAAAATTAGCCGAAGTAGAGCATCGTTTCTCTTTGGGAGGTGCTGCCTCGCCAGGGGCTCGAGCCTGGGTGGGCAGCCAGGCCCCTTCCCACCAGAGCAGCCCAGAGAAACTCCCTCCCCAGTGCTGCTGCAGCTGAGCCACCTAATGAGATCTAGTCGCCTGTGCATGCTATATTAGGGTTTCCATGGATATGGTGTCACAAACACTGGGCTGTGGCTTTGTTATATAAACAGGAGAGATTGCCACAAATACCCGAAATATCTGAAAAGGACAGGAAGAGACAAAAGCGTTCTCTGGGCGTGTTTATAAAGGGTTGGTGTGATCCAGGGGACAGTGACAGTGGGAGGTGGGAGAGATTTGTGTGAGCTTTGAGAAGTGGAGCATAACCGAGTGGTGGTCTCCGACTTGGGAGCTCTGGAGACTAGCTTCAATCTTCAACATGGTTTTTCTAAAATGATCAAAAAAAGGTGCTGCTGTCTGGGCTGTTACTGCCCCTGCTCACACCTGAGATCTGGACTCCTTCAGCTCACAGTGTGATGTGCATCGTTCTTCAGGTTCAAGTTCATCCTGGCTGAGCTTCACACCAATCCTGGTCCTACGCTATTCCTGCCACATGCAGAGAGATCCTGCTTCCTGCAGCTGGTGTGGACCAGGGCTGGTGATGGTGGTGGAGACACACAGCCATCAGCACTCTCAGAACTGCCCACACCTCACCCTGCTCTGCAAGACCATCCTAATTTTGTACCATTTCAGGTGCAGAAAGTCCTCTGTACAGTTTGAGGAATCATGTAATGTGAAGAAAAATCTGCTCTAGAATGGAGGTGGGCTGCAAGGGACATGGAGACATCAGAGTGGCTAAAATTGTATTGCACTCCCACTCCCCTGCCAATAAAAACACCATAAATAAAGTGGCTTTGCAATAACCATCTCCACGCACTGAAACACAGATTCATGTATCCCCACAAAAGATGCTCCGAGCAGGATCAACTCTGCTCTAGCCTTGTTCTCCAGGAGAGGCATGAGAAGCTTGCTCCAGTCCTACCATGGAAAGGACTCTTCATCCAGCAGATGCTACCTCAGTGCCTTCCTTTTCCCACCCTCCACGCTCACCTGTGGGTGACATTCCCAGCTCATGGCTGTTTCAGCTCATTCCTGGACTTCCCAGTGCCCTTCACCATGGGACAACCATCCATCCATCCATCCATCCATCCATCCATCCATCCATCAATCCATCCATCCATCCATCCATCCATCCATCCACTTGTTTTCTCTCCTATTGTTCCCCCTGTGCAACCAAGATGACATATTTCCATGCTTCATCATCTGACACGTGGTGGAGAATACCAAATTTGGTAAGGAAAGATCTGCTTTATCATTTAAAAACACGCCAAATCCGGTTTTTGCTCTTCAGATATAGGACACCCTGCATCAGCTGCCATCCTTGATTTTCCAGGACCCATCTTTATTTTCATGAAGTGTTCTCTCCCATCTCTGGAATGGCAGGGAAGAGTTTTCTCTGGTTTGGTAAGAAATAACAGCAAGAGGAGCTGGAATCTGCTGTGGGCGTTGGTCCAGGGCTGTCTGCCACATGAATTTCCAGGGGGGTAGGTTGGTTCTGAGCCCTCCTGCATGGGGCTCTGCTCTTTGATGCCAGCCTTTCTTCTTGCTTTTCCTCTAGCCATTGCTTTCTGGCACTAAGCTGCTTCCTGAAGATTGCACAGCAAGCCAGATCAGCTTCAAGGGGAGCTGATCCAGGAGAGGACATGGGGCCAAAAGAGCCTGAGGAGTCTGAAGATGCAGCTTTATCAGCTTAGCAAAAGGGCTGGTGCATCGAATGGCAAAGGCTGCAGGTCCTGTGTGCTTGAGGTTTGTAATGGACAAGTTAGCAGAAGGTCTAAAAAAGAGCAGAAAATTGTGGATTAGTGAGATTTCCTTCAGAAAACTCAGCGTGGCTTCTGTACAGGGAGGGCCTGCCCTACAAACCTCTTGACAACCTCAATAAGCTTGAAGAGGAAGGTGTTTGTGGGAGATATGATCTCTTTGGCTTTCCAGGTCTGTGACAGAAGGCTCTGCACTATTCCCACCACAGCCCAGACGCCCATGGAAGGATTATTCCCCCAGCACCTCCCAAACCCCTGGTGCCAGCAGTCCCCCCGGAATCCATGCCTCTGTACAAAGGGACACGAGGGAATCTGTGGTGAGCATCCTTACCCTCACCTCCTGCCTCTCCAAGCCCTTCCTGTTGCTGGCACTTCCACCCGCAGCAGCGGCTGCGCAGGATCACGTCCCAGAGAGTCTGGCACGTCGTGTCGGGTGCAGAGGCAGGAGCTGACGGGTGTGATGTGACGTGATGTGCCAGGCAAGCCCTGCCACGGAGCAGCCTGTGAGTGTGCATCCCCTCAGAGCACCCCTGACCCACGTTGCTCCAGCTGAGGTTGATGTCACCCCGTGAGCCGTGGCATATGGTGCTGGTCACGGGCTGGGGATGATTAACACAGCGAGTCTGGGGCACGCTGGCTCGGGGCACTGGGTAACTCATCTGTTCGGGTTAAAGACGCTGATTTGAGCAGCAGCTCCTCTCTGTCGTTTCTTTGTTAACTCTTTTAAGCAGATTCATCCCGTGACGCTCTGAGGTTGTCGCCTCCAAGGACAGAAACCTGTTGGAGTAACATGTGGCAGACCTGGCCCCAGGGCATCTTCAGCTTCGCTCCTGCCTGAAGCAGCATCCTGAGCCACAGCAGTGGGAGCAGCAGGTGCAAGGACCCAGTTAAGGGCAGTTTTCAGGGCTGTATTTATAAACCAGGTGGTTCTGACATTGTGGGTGGTTAAAGCAGAAGGAGAAAGGCTGCTATGGAAGAGCACAAATTCGAGATCAGGCTACTGTTCTCACCACCATAAAATTTGCATTTAAATCCAATGATTGAGGCGCTTCAGGCAGGTGCCCACATCCCAGAGAGAGCAGGAGGATGCAGTGGAGACCTTTGAGGCTGCTGCTGTGAATATTTGGGATCATCTTGGGGACTGGCTGAGAGAAAGAATCTCCATAATCATGGGGAAGAGTCAGAGAAGAGCACCCGGTGCTTCCATCAGGACCAGAGGGTGGCTGTCACTGTGAGGAGCTGAGCCTCGGAGCTTCCTGCTGCAGCCTCCTCCTGCACAGCTGCACACACAGGGTCCTGTTTACTGCTGGGGAGCTTAAGGCAAAAACAAATGCCAGAGAGCAGCAAAGGAAAAGGCTCTTCCTTTAGGAACAGAAAAAGGGTGTATTTGGCAGGTGATGACCAGGTTGTGTTGTCAGTGTACCTGGCTACTCCATCTGAAGGGTCTGTGATGGGCAGGAGTTGATTTATAGAGACCTAACACTGTGATTCCCTGTAGGACCAAAGCCCTGCACAAGCAGTGGGACGCTTTAATAATATTAAGTGCCCTTTGCTACCCTATTTCAGGTGCCTGTTTATTTTTTTGCATCCCTGGGAGGCCACACACTTGATGTGCATCACATCCACCAGAATGCAGTTGCTGAAAGAGTTTTCAGTCTGGAAATGCCACTACTGTCCCCCAGGCCAATGGAGGACTGGGAATACATACAGGGAGCTGGGCAGTGTTTCAGCAGCCAATTGCTCCCAGCAATGCCCAGGTTTGGTTGTGGTTTTTGGTCACGTATCAGTCTCAGACAGTAGGTGCCTTCAGGGTCATGACAACCAGGTGGGAACCTGCCCTTCCACGATGGGCACGCACTGGGAGTTGCTCCCTGGGGATGGAGCAAGCTGGAGGGGGGATAAAAGCCTAGGGAGAGGCTTTGGATGCTGAGTGGTGAGAAGATCATACAATATTCCTGGGCAGTTTGCTCCCAAGTCCTGAGTCACATGTGAGGAAACCAAGATTTTTTGGTTGCAGGAATGTGAATACACAAACTCAACAAAGGATTTACACCAAAAATAACCCACTGGGGGGGGGGGGGGGGAAGCAGGTGGCCATAACCTGAACACTGTACTTAAGACTTAACAAATGATTTGGCTTCTGGCTGCTGCTGGTCTGTTTATCCCACAGACTTGGCAGGCACAGGACACTTCCCAAATGTTGAGGTTGATGAAAGTTGTGGCTGGCCAGCTGCCAGCTCTTGAGGCTATCAACTGGCTCTCAAACTGTGGATGCTAATTAGCACTTTCCTTCTGTAAAAATTTATGTTGCAAAGTCATGGGAATCAGGGCTCTTTGCGCTCTGTGTTTGTACAGCCCCTGACACGACCAGACCGTGCTCGTGATGGAGGTCTTGTACACCACTGCAATATGGAGATATATTATAAAAACCTTTTTCTCTTTCATAGGTAACTGATCTTCACAGAATTGCTCTTACGGTAAGCAAACCTCATCTTAGAGCCCAGAAAACAAGCTCTGTACTCACACAAGGCAGCCCAAGCATTTGCTAAGTCCTTGTTATAACATTGTTTTTCCTTGCTTCTATCCTGGGCTCAGCTCAGTGAGAATTGCTTTGACATCTCCCTGGGAAGCAAGGAGGATCTTTATTGTCGTACAGGAGTCCAGGCATAGAAACCAAAATGAAGGGCCCAAGGAAAGAACCTCCATCATTCATATTTCTGAGCAAGGATACAATGATAAATTGCCAGACAATGGCATTTGACCAGTACAAGTAATAAAAAGCTAAAATTGGTAGGGGTTTTTTTTTTTGTTCCTGGCACAGCTTTTAAATATCTTTTGCACGTGGTTCAAGCAACCTTGAAGAAAAACTGAACAGCAACCACAACACAGACAGTTCAGTACTAAGTGATACAATATAAATTAATTAAACAATAATAGCCTTAAGTAGATTCTCTAAAGATAAACTGAATTTTGCCCCCTCACTTTGATTTCCTGTCATCAGAGTGAGTGGTTTGCCTCTCAGATCTCTGCACAGGCGTTTGAACTGCGTGCAAAGTGTGCTGAAATTGCTGGCGGTAATTAGTTTATTTGTTGAGCAATTAATTAAATGCGACTGTTTCCCTCTCCATGGATTAAAGGAGTGCTGTAAGTGATACCGTCTTAAAAAGAGCAGATGTGCTATATAAGCACTGATCATTCTCATCAGTCAAGAAGGACAGAACTAGTATCGATAGGCTGAAACTGCCGAAGGAAAAAATTAAGTTAGTTCTTGGGAATAAGCTTGGGAATGCCAAAGGAAGTCAGGCCAGGGACACGAACACTGCGGAACACAAGGCATACGTCCTGTTGGACAGAGGGAATCCAGGCTGGATGTGCTTGTCTTCCCAGCATCATTTCGAGGAGGCTGGGAGAGGCGATGGCCTGCAGAAGGGTCTGTGTGCCCAAGGAGTTTGGCAGCTTGCAGACAACACGGGTGATGCCAGCTGAGACTGCTGACAGGGCGGGCAATGAGGCAGGGCTGGCAGGGCCTTCCGAGACATGCTGAGCATCCTTCGTGCCCAGGAGAGCTCTGCTGGGAGTCTGGGGACCAGCGGCTGCAGAACACGTGTTGGGAGCTGGGGCACTTTGTGCTCCCTTGTCACACCGGCTTGGTTACGGCTGTGGTGGTGCCTCTGCAGGCTGCCCATCTGCTGGAGGGGTAATGCCGACTCGCATTCAGGTTTTGTCCCAAACTCTGTTTTTTTCAGATGTGGGAGGTCATCACAACCCCAAGACTAAGGAAATCTTGTGAATCACCGCTCCTGCACTTAAGAAGCCTTGTGAATCACCGCTGCTGAACACGCCCCGCGCGGCATCAGCGTCTTTGGAGAAAACTGAGGATGAGGACTCTAAGCTGAGGTTGTGCTGGAATGGGCATGGATTTGGGAAGAGGAGAGACAGTCCCTCTCCAGGGGTGTCTATTAATGAGACCAAACAACCAAAACCCCAGCACAGCTCCTGATAAACGGAGCAGGGAACAAAGTCATGGCACCTGTAAAATGCCCTGGGACCCTTGGGGGGCTAAACGGGGGGTGGTGCAGGGTTTCTCCTCTTTATCCCCGCACCAGGGATGGAGAGGGGGATTCTTTTCCTGCACTGGGGATGAGGAAGGAGATTCTTTTCCTGCCCCAGCATTGGGGATGAAGGCTCCTTTGGCCAAACCAATATCCCCCGCCTCTGTCGTGGGTGACGCGGATCTCGCAGGAGGAGATCCGGCTGCAGGATGGTGTGGCCCGACTCCCGGGGGTTGAGTGGTGGTCCGGCTCCGCAGAGGGATGACCCATGCCTATATGGGGATGCCCCAGCTCTGGCGGGAGTGACCCATCTCCCAGGGGCTGTCCCCCCGGTTGTCCAGCACGGACCCGCATCCCGCTGCGGGGTGTGGGGGTGTGTGTGTGTGTCAGGACCCGGCGTCCGCCTTCTCCCTTTCTCCGCATCCCGGGGTGCGGGTGCAGGGGGGTTGCGGTGCGGGGGGGCGGCAGCACGCGGCGCTGCCCGTGCGGCCCCGGCGGGGGGCTCGGGGGGGCGCAGCTCGGCCCGGCCCGGCCCGGCCCCGCTCGGCTCGGCCCCGCTCGGCCCCGCTCCGCTCCCGCCGCCGTCATTGGCGGCCCCGGCGGCGCTGGGGCGCGGGGCGGGGAGGCGGGAGCGTCCCCCGCAGAGCCGCCGCCGCCGGCCCGGCCATGTGCCGAGAGGGTGGCTGCTGCTGCTGCTGCTGCTGCTGCTGCTGCTTGCTGCCGGCTGCCTGCTCCGCGCACTGCTCCCCAGACCGCTTTCTTCCTTCTGTTTTTATTTTTTGAATTGTGTGTTTGTTTGGTTTTTTTTTTTTAAGTCCTTTATTTTGGCGTTGATGCTCTGCGAGCGGGAGACTTCGGGAGACGCGGTCCTCACCTGAGCGATCCAGCCCCATTCCCCCGTTTGAAGGTAAGCATGGGAGGACAACCTCCCCCCCACCCCCGGCTCTGCCGAGCCCCTTCTCCCCGTCGCTCCCAGCGCTGGGGTCTTTCGCGGTGTTTTTCCCCCCGTTTGCTTCACTCCCGCCCCCGCCGCCCGCTTCCCGGTGCATCCTGAACTGCCTGGGATCGCTGTTCCGAGGGAACGGGCAGCGAAACCCGCATCCCGGGGGGATACCTTCAAGGAGGGCAGCAGGCAGAGGATAGCCCCGGCTGCCAGGAGTGGGGCTGGGAAGGGGTTTGGAGGGGGGAGACTGAGCGAGTAGGACGTGGAGAACTGCACAGCATCTGCTCCCCTATAGCCTGTCTCAGGGGGGACTGGGCAAGTCCTGCCACCTTAGACCAACATGAAAAATACTGAGGTGCTCAGGCTTGGTTTTCCCCGGTCCTACAGCATCTTCAGTTTCAGAGCCATGCCTGTGAAGGAGGTCGTGAAAGCATCTTTCAGGGATGGAGTGGGAAAGCTGCCCCCGTCCCATGCCTTTCCTGGGTGTGCAGATCGTGTCCTTCTCTTCCATTTCATCCTCCTTTGCACGCTCAGCATGGGACTGAAACTGGGCTCTCTAAATAACCTCTCTGGGCATCTCACCTGGGGCCATGTGTCTAGGACAAGGGTTTGTTCCTATCTCATGTCCTGGCTCTGAAGGACGTCAGAATCCTCTGCTCCATCCCAATGAGTTCATAGAGACCACCCCAGTCTCAGGTTAGGCAGCAAACCAGCTCACTAACTCACACTCAGCAAAGCAGTGGTGATGGAGAGGGATCCAGAGCTGCCTGTGAGAAAGGTGATGGCACAGTTACCTGTGGGTTGTTTTTGTCACTGTTTCATGAATAGAGCAGCCATCTAGGTCTGTGCTCTCAGAGGCACAGGGATATTGCTCGGTACATTAAAGGTAGCCTGAGGGCTCGGGGGGGCTGTGGGAGGGAGAGAGAAATCCCCCAAGGGAAGATGGCTTTTCATTTCCCCATATCGACCGGTTTCAGACAGGATTATTTATATTTGACATAACAGATCACCAAACTTGGAAGGTAGTGGGGGTGTGCTCATACTCATTAAGGTAGACAGTTTTCTGACAGAATAAATTAAAGGTAAGAGAAGACGGCACTTTGAGGTTCAACAGATTGTCTTCTAGCCTGAAATGAGCAGCGAAATCAGCATAAAACCTGGGTGGGAAAATCGTGTACTTGAGTCTGTGATGACGGATGTCTGTCATTTTAGGCAACCTGGTGGGTTATCCCAATTTTTAGAGTGCAGATGGTGCTCCTGGGTGACTTCTTTGAGCGAAAGTACCCAGTGTGATGGGTTTTTTAGTCATCATATCTCGTCTTTACTGAGTAAGCATCTAAATTATAATGCTGTAAGGGAAAGTAGTTTACATAAATTGTGCATGAAGTGAGTGCCTGAACTATCCCACACCCGTGTTTAGGCTCTTGCCCTGTTGCAGTGGCGTGTGAAGAACTGAAGGTTGTTTGCAGCCTCTGTGGATGGTTTTCATCTTGTCTGAAAGGAGCAGAAAGACGCACTAGGGCTGTCAGTGGGTGAAAAGAGATTTTAAACATCTTAAAGACCATGCAGCTGTAATTAAAAGTGTAACCTCCTTCCTCCGCGTGTCAGGATTTCTGTGCAGAATCATGACAGGACCTCTTCAGGAACGGTGCTGGTGCTCAGTGGAGATAAAGAACTTCAACAAAATCCCCCGCGAAGTGATTGATGTTGATTTATCACCCCTCAGTACATTGGTTCTAGTTTAGAAAGGATGTGGGGATGTGAGGGGAAAGGAAGGGAACATCATTTGTTCCTTTCTGTTTTATTGTCAGTGAGCACAGATTACAAATACAGGCAGTTCTGGAATACCTGTGCCTACCTGAGCGTGGAGAGTTGCAGAACATCACCCGCGCCGTGGTTACTGGCTGTATCTTTACCGTGTTTCTCTTTGTTTCCCATCAAAGCCTGGTAACTCTGTCTAGCTGTCACATCTCCTCCTGACCCTTTTCCACTGCACCTGCAGCAGTCCCTAAACCCTCATGTAGGTGACACAAGAGTCAAACCTAAAGGTTTGATCTCATGGGCTTTGCAATCTGAGGAGAACGTGTTCGGAAGTGGCCCAGGGGCAGAGGACCCGCTCGCTGCCCGTGGATTAAATAACCCAAGTCTTTCCAAAGGTTTCCCATGTCTGAAGTTGAAGAGCACTCACTGACCCTACAGCCACACCTGAACACCCCCTTAGGATCTTGAAATGTTTCGCTGGGTGCCAGATGCAAAGAGATAAATGTGCTTAATTCCCTGGGATATTTATGTGCAGCTCAGAGAGCTTCGCTGCGTCCTCACAGGCTGAGAAAGTCTGTGCCACTGACCTTTGGGCATGTCAGGATATGGGACACTGAGGGGTTTTGCAGCTGACCAAGCTGTAAGGGATTTGCCTAACTCAGACTTTTTCATCTGGCTGTGCAGTGCCCAGCTGTATTAGTGCTGGTTTAAGAAACGGGGATAACTTGGTACCTTCTCACCTGACCTGCTCTGTCTGTTGTGTTGTCATGGATATGAATATGGATGTGAATAAGGACAGGCCAGGGAAGAGGTGCTGTGTGCTGGCAGGGCTCCAGCAGCCACAGCTTGTGATGCAACTTATGACATTGAAGGGCAGGTGTTTGGGTTGAACTTGCAGCTCATTCCCCATCTAATTTACACTTTCTCCCATGTCGTTATGTGTCATCTCCTTCTCTCCTTGTGATCTGATTTATTGTGGTGGGATTGGTTCACCCTTTGCCTGAGAAAACAGCTTATACCCCAGCACTGAAGATTGGCAGCAGGATGACAAATAGGTTTGGGTGATGGACTCTGACCCTCTTCAGACCTTTCAGCCACATTCAGATCACAGCCAAGGCCAGCCCAGGCAAGGCTGGGACCTTAGGAACCCACGAGCCCTGTGAGAACAGCCCTGGGCAGAGGGCAGATGGAAAGGTTGGGGAACAAAATTAAAGGTCATAATAACATTTTGAAATATCCTTGGACCTATTTCTCCCTGGAAAGGCTAATAGCAGCCATGACCCATTAATAGCAGTTCAGTGCACCAGCAGGAGGACGGGGCTCCTCTGGGGATGTGGTTCTCAAGGTGCCTGTGTCAGAGGCAGCACTGAGGGGGGCAGGACTTGATTTAGGCCAAAATCACAATGATGATGATTTTGTCCCATCCTACGTGTCCAAGAGCACAGATTTCTCACTGGAGCCGGGGGCAGCACTGTGAGCTGCAGCCTGGGACACTGCTGGGTGCCAGCACTTCCATCAGCGTGCACGGGTGCTCCCTTTGGCAGGACATGGAGTGGAGACAAGAGATGAGCCGAGAGCTGGGGAGCTTTGTTACCCTCTCACTTCAGGCAGTTTTCTCTTGCTTGTTGAGCGAGCACCTGTGATGGGTCAGAGCTGACGTTTGACTTCCCTCACAATAATGGCACAAGACGGGCTGAGACACCGCAAGGGCAGCTCAGCCCAGTCTCACCTTCTCCAGTGCTTCTCTCCTGTCTCCCACCTCCAGGACAAAAGCCACCTGCGGTCACACACCACCCAGCATGGATGTTGTGAGCTTTGCTTGACAGCTACACTGATTTTTTCCCGAGCTGGAAAGTGTGTGCCTCTGGAATCTGCCCATGGAGGGAGGGATGCGGCTCCTGCGTGGAGCTGAGTCGAAGGTGCACACAGCTCTGCTGCCCTGGGAAACATCTCTCTGCTCCACAGCCTTTATCAAAGAGATGGAAACTTGTCATATTCTTTTTGCAACAATATCTGACATTATCCAAGCAATTTGCCTTTGGTGTGTTTCCAGAAATAGTTAGGCCTACGGTAGACAGGGGTGACATCTGGATGCATTACTGTTGAGTTCAGAAACATGCAGTAAACAAGACAGGATCTATTGTTTAAAGGTTATTTCAAAAGGCTCCCAGCGAGTTATCTGGCCGTGCAATGGGGAAAGCTTTAATGGCATGGTGATAATTGCCTTTTTCTGAAGGACATTTTAGAGGAAAGTTACCAGAAACCCAAAAGAAAGTCTTAGCCTGTCCTCGCCAGGTCAGGGACCTGATCCAACCTGAAAATTGGGAGAGGTTTTCTCCTTACTTCAGTGCTGGCTGGATCAAGCCCAGGAAATACATGCCTGGCTGTGGGAATAGCAGGCTGGGGGGCAGAGATGGGGGATGCAGGGGAGATCACCAGCGGCTCAGCAATAAAAAAAAAAGTCTCAGATCAGCATAATAGGGCAGCAGGATTCACATCAGCAGGGAGGGCGAGAGAAAGAGCCCTCCCCGAGGCTCTGAGAAGAAAATAAATGTCATTAGCAATGGATAAAGCAACCGCCTCTGAGCACCTGAGACGAGGGTGGGAGGCTGTGCAGGGAGAGGGGGGCTGGTGAGGGCTGCCAGTGCTCAGAGGGCTCAGTGAGGCCACAGCAGGAGCCACTCTGCAGCCCACGTATTTATTCATCATGTCCCTGTTTGGTTAATAGCCTGCTCATTAAGAAAAGAAAAAGGAGGGCAAGTGAATTCCTGGCAGAAGGCAAGTGCCAGCCATCCTCCCCTTCCCTCACCCAGGTGACAAGGATGCTGCTCACGTGGCAGAAGAGAAGAGATGTGGCTCTGCTGCCACTCACACACCTGCAAGTGCTCCTGGCAGGATACACTGCTGGCCGCTTACCTCAGCCCCGGGGCAGGCAGGACTAATGCTCACTGGTAATTTCATGCCCCTTTGAGAGCCCTGATGGGGAGGAAATCATGTCTTGGTCTCACATATCTTTGTTTGCTTATGTGTTTCTCTGAGAGGGCAGTGGGAGTGAGCGAGTGGAGCTGACTGGAGCACTCTGCCTGCAGCGGGACCATCCCATCCCAGGCACTGGCTCCAGCCCTTCTCTGCCTCATCCAGTGCTGCCGTGAGGTTGTGTCAGTGCTGCAGAGAGAGTCGGTGCTGGTGGAGAGCTGTTCAGA